TTATTATTATTATTATTATTATTATTATTATTATTATTATTATTATTATTATTATTATTATTATTATTTATTATTAGAACCGGCCCGCAGACCGCAGCAAGCCGGCAGCCCGCAGATCTTTTACACGCACCAATACTACATTTCCAACAATGCAACGGTGACGCACCGAGCAGTTGGCTGCTTCATTTCAGTGTTTATTAGCACAGCAGTCGCCAGCATAACTGTAAAATTAACTTTCAGATACCCATCAAAAATGGCAAAAAGGAAGGTGGACACTGAGAACCGGGGGTTTCAAACAAGGTGGGAGTCGGAGTATATGTTCACGGAGGTAGCTGGAAAACCTGTGTGTCTTCTGTGTGGAGAAAGTGTGGCGGTACTGAAAGACTATAATCTGAGACGACATTATAAAACGAAACACGCGGACAAAAACAAGAATATGGACATGGAACAAAGGCTACAGAAGGCCGAGGAATTAAAACGAGGCCTCAAATCTCGACAGGCTCTGTTAAAAAAAGACAAATCACCAGGCCAGGCTGCTGTCAAGGCCAGTTTTATTTTGGCACAAGAGTTCGCTAAATCAGCCCGGCCATTTACGGAGGGGGATTTCATCAAAAACTGTTTGATCAAAGTTTGTGACGAAGTTTGCCCAGAAAAAAGTCAACTCTTTTTAAATGTGAGTCTGAGCAGAAACACCATTGCCGAGCGAGTAGACCAATTGTCCATCAATCTAAAAGAGCAGCTTGTGAAAAAGGGAAAAGATTTCATCGCATATTCCTTGGCTGTGGGTGAGAGCAGTCACATTTCTGACATTGCCCACTTGTCCATTTTCATCCGCGGAGTGGACTCCAGCCTAAGCGTGACAGAGGAGTTTTTGGCTTTATGTCCTATGCATGGCACAACTACGGGTCATGATTTGTACGAAGAGGTGTCAAGATGTGTAAATGAGATGGAGCTGCCTTGGGAAAAACTTGTGGGTTTGACAACCGACGGAGCACCTGCGATGTGTGCACACAGGAGCGGACTGGTGGCGAAGATACGGGAAAAGATGCAAGAGGAAAAGGCGACAGGTGAGCTGGCAGATTATCATAGTATCATACACCAGGAAGCGTTGTGCGGTAAAGCCTTGGAAATGGAACATGTGATGAGCATCATCACTGGCGCAGTTAACTTCATCAGAGCCAAAGGTTTAAATCACCGCCAGTTCAAGGCATTTCTGAAGGAGTTAGAAACGGAGCATGGTGATTTGCCTTATCACGCAGAGGTGCGATGGCTAAGCCAGGGAAAGGTGCTCCAAAGATGTTTCGAGCTTCGTGAGGAGATTTGTCTGTTCTTGGACAGCAAAGGGAAAGACACAACACAACTCCGAGACGAGATGTTTCTGTGTGAAATGGCTTTTCTGTGTGACATTACGAGTCATCTGAATGCAATGAACTTGCAGCTGCAGGGTCGGGATCGTGTCATCTCTGATATGTACACTACAGTGAAGGCATTTAAAACCAAACTGACTCTGTGGGAGATGCAGATGCTGGAAGAAAATTTGAGCCACTTTCCCAGCTGCCAGACCATGAAGGAGAAGCTCTCTACCAGTGCGTTCCCTAGCGCACAGTTTGCTGATAAAATAGGTATGCTTGCCGCTGACTTTCGACGCCGATTTGCTGACTTTGAAGCCCAAAAAAACAGGTTTGAACTGCTCGGTAATCCATTTGCTGTTGACGTGGAAAGCTCACCACCAAACCTCCAAATGGAATTGATTGACCTCCAATGCAATGATGCGCTGAGGGCAAAATATGCGTCAGTGGGTGCTGCAGAGTTTGCCCGTTTCCTCCCCGACACAATGCCCCAGCTGCGCATCCAGGCTGCTCAAACGTTGTCTATGTTTGGCAGCACATACCTGTGTGAACAACTGTTTTCTTTGATGAACCTGAACAAAAAATCACACAGAAGTCGACTTACTGCTGAACACCTTCACTCAATTCTGAGGATTTCCTCAGCTCAGAGCCTTACCCCGAACATTCATGAACTTGTGGAAAAGATGGGACACCACCAAGTATCACCCTCAACCTCAAACAAGTGAACATTACTGTGCAGTTACATATTTAGAGTTTTTACTCAGTTCAAGTTTAAAAGTTCAAGTTTAATATTTGTTTTCACTGTATGTTACTTCTCCTTGAGGAAAGTGTTGTTTTTGATTAATCGGTTTTTGCACTTTATTTTATTGTATTTCAATCCAATTATATTTTGGAAATATTTCAGTTGAGTGGATGATAAAAAATTGCTATTATTTTTTTCTTTGAAGTAAATTTAGCCCACTTTTGCTAAAATAGAAAATATAGGCTACTGATGGCGCCTTGAATAATACAGGTTTCTTTCATTTAATGTTCATGTTATGGGGATTTTTATATAAAGGAAATTTGTCTTTTGTGTCTGTTGAAAATGAAAGATTACTGACAGAGCCATAAGAAAATATTGTTTTATTTATCTGATCATATTGGAATATATTTGTTAGGTTTTCAGTAGGTTCAATTAGGTTCACTAGACTATATGCGTCATTTAAAAAAATGTCAATGAACATTCTATCATTCCGGCCCTCGGCTTGTAGCAAAAAATTGTATTTGGCCCTCCGTCCATCTGACTTTGACACCCCTGTTTTACAGGGATACGTCCAAGCCTGTAGATGCTCTAAACTTTAAATAGTTTTTAAAAGTTTAAGTTTTTACACGAAAATACAGAATTCAAATATATATAAACACACACACACACGATGGAATGGCCAATTAATTGAAAAGATGAAGATCATGATCTTTCAAAAAATGTTTCAAATTTTTATTGGTTATGACAGAAGATGAAAAAACATTTTTCCGATTCAACTGTTTGGCAGATGGGAACACTTTTATTTGATTTTTTATTGAGCTTAGACTAATTTCCCACAGAAAAAAACAGGTTGTGCATTTTGGGATTTTTTTTCTTAATCAGGTTCTGGATATTTTTATTTTATTTGTTTAAATATATTGCACTCTCCTTAAAACGGACTATACAAAGTTCTTTAAAGGAAGACAATATGCTGAATTCAGTCGCACAGACTACTGAGGAACAAGGCCCCTCTTCTTGATGACATGTTCCATGGAAGCCTTCTCTGAAGTGTCAAGGTTGATCTTGTACTTAGCCAGGATTTTCAGGATGGGCCTGAGCCTTACCCACCACTGGGTCTTTGGAATACGATGCCTGCAAACAAAAAAATTCAATGATGATAGAAGCAAAGGACAAATAACAACATTGTTTTATTTAACGAACACCTTTCTAAACCACTGAATGTGCATAACAAACATTAGCATATTACTGAAGCACCCGAGCAAACTCATGAATCAAATAATATCATTAGTGTTGTCATTTCTGCATACATTTTGGTTGTACAGAAATTATTTGACTGAACCTATGTTAGAAAGATACTTTAAACTCTAAGCTAGTAAATTGCTTGGGTAATTTAATAAAATAAGTGGTTTGCAATTCAAGTTTTAAAAAAGTAATTAAAAGTAATCAAAGTAAGCTAAAAAATTTGAACAAAATCCTTTCAATGAGTAGTGATGATGGCTAAAGTTGAAAGTTACGAATGCAGTCTCACTCAAAGTCAGTCTCTTCTTTAAGTTCAGCCAGAGGCTGAAAAACCAAAGCTCTTTTCCTCATTCCCAGCACACAGGCCGAATCTTGAGAGTTGGCAAAGATGCGACCTAGAAGTTTGAATTTAGAAGTAGAACAAACATTAGCAAAGGTACTGTGTCGGCAAGAACAGCAGATGTCAGAACATTTTATGTTCTGGGTAACATCAAAGCCTCACCGTGTCTGTAGCATTCCTTCAGCTTGTCAGTTACCCAAAGGACAGACTTAATTCCCATCTTTGTGCCAAAGTTCCTGTCAAAGGGAGTGGGTGTTCCACCCTAATAATAATGGATAGAATAACTTTTAGTTAGTACATAAAGTTGGCAGCAAACAATGAGCACTGGTAAACCAATCACAAGATGTAGCTTGAATTGCACACCTGCTGCATATGACCAAGGACATTCTTCCTGCAGTCAAACACACCTTTGCCCTCCTCCGAATACAGGTTGAAGATAAAGTCAGTAGTATAGTTTGCATTACACTTCTCATTTCTAAAACAATGGAGAAGAAAAACAAGAGACATGAATTCCAAAAGGATAACATATAACAACGTTTTTTTAAAAAGCCTTGATGTCATAGCTCTCTTTAACCTCAAAATCAAGCCTCTCTTCACTGTGGTCTTCATCTTCTCCACCAGATGTTCAACATTAACCTGCAAACAAAAAAAAATCATAAAATTAGTTACTTGAAAAATGTTCATGTTGGTTTGTTTAATCTCTTTTCTCATTTACAGGGAAACAGGCATACCTCAAGGTCATGAATGTTGATAGGCTCCTCATAAATGTAGGCAGCATCAGCTCCAGATGCTAACCCAGCCATTGTTGCCAGGTAGCCGCAGTATCCCCCCATAGTTTCAACAATGAACACTCTTCTTTTGGTGCCAGCAGCAGATTGCTTGATCCTGTCGCATGTCTGTATACAGCAGACATGTGGCAGCAAAGCAGTTTAGTGAAAATGACTTAATTGTTATGGGATTACCCTGTTTTTCTCAGAAGTTTACCATGGTTATGGTGTTAAGGGCAGTGTCTGCGCCAATGCTGAAGTCAGATCCTGGAACATTGTTGGACACAGTGGCAGGAACAACAACAATCGGAATACACAGTTCCTCATATTTCTCTCGAGCTTGCACCATCTCTAGACCTCCCAGGAATGCCTGATGGGAAGGAGGGCATTAGAAAAGCAATATACTGAGTGCTATACAGGAAGGAGAAGCTAAATGTTCAGACTACTAAAAATGAATCATTATGGTCAGCAAAGGGCTGCTTACCTCAAAGCCCCCAATGATGATAATACCATGTATGTTGAACTTGGTGATGGACAAACTGATCTCCTCCATGAACTCATGTGGTAGGCTTCTTTACAGGAGACAAAAACACACACACTTATTGTAGATTAGCCCAGTTATAAGGTCAAACTACTTCATGCAAACACTTACAAGCTCTGAAACATGAATTCCCATTAGTTAATCGAGATGGTTTACCTCTTTGTGCCCAGGATGGAGCCACCCTTCCCAGTCCATCCTGCCACTCCAGACCAACCAATCGGCTCAATCTGTGAGAGAACAGAGCACATACTCTGTCATATGCAGGCTTATCATTATAATGACAAAATTGCTTGCGTATTTTTGTGTTAACACTGTATATTACCATTCCATGAGCTAAACCATCAAAGCTGTCATGCACTGCCAACATCTGGTGGCCCTGGAGGAGCCCGACTCTGACAGCTGCACGCACAGCAGCATTCATGCCAGCACATGGAGCTCCCACATTCAGAATGGCAATGTTGATATTACTCTGTTAAAGACAAGTTCAATAGTTATTTGGAAATACTTATTTTCCAAGTGAATAGAGAAACAAATGGTCTGCAATAAAACACAAAAAAAATCCAGTTTTAACCTTTGTTTCTGGCGGGTGGACATGAGCCAGCATTTTGTAAGTGCTCCAATTGTTCTCAAAGCTCCTGTTGACAAAGTGGTAAAAAAATGCAAACATTAGATACCAAACACAATGCACAACTTTTTTTCATGAATAATACCAAATGTGCTTGTCTCACTTTCCCCTGAGCTTCACTGCCTCATCATACCGCCCTTCGGCCATGGCTGTTGTGACATCTTTAGTCTGTTACAGAAGCATATAGATGCAATGGAATCTGAACATTATATAAAGATATAAAAAAACAACTCATAGTGCTTCAACACCACACACTAAGTTAATGCCAATTATCCTTTGATGTACAGCAACTTACCACTTGCACACACTCCATGAGAGGCAGCCTGACGGCCATGTTTCCAGACAAGCTGACCACACAGGCTGGAGTATCTGGTGTAGCTTCCAGCAGTGCCATGACAGCCTCCACGCCCATTCTGCTGGCCTAAATTTTTTTCACAATTCAATACATCTTCATAGCAATTAGAGGATCTACTAGTGAGCATTTTTAATAGTGTTACCAAGATTCTATCGAAAGCAGAAGGTGTTCCTCCTCTCTGTACATGGCCCAGGATGGTGGTGCGAGTGTCAAAGCCGAGCTTTTTTGATACTAGCTGGAAAGATGGATGGCTTATGAACATCCCCTTTGAATTAGCTTGACCCTATGTCATATATTACGGTATATCAGAGAAGAACAATTTCTGACCTGTTTGACAGTCTCACAGGAGATTGCTTTACCACTGCGATCCATTGCTCCCTCTGCAACAATGATGATATTCAAGCGGGAGCCACGGCCTCTTTGCTGTACAGGGGGCAGGACGGGGGAAAGGTTTAAAACACAGCCCAGTTAAGTTCAGGTCATGAACTGAATGATGCAAATATAGCATGTACCCCTGCCAATCTTCTGCACAGATGCTCCTCCCATCCGTCATCTGGGGGCATCTCTGGGATGAACACCCAGTCAGCGCCACATGCCAGAGCTGTCACCAAGGCAAGGTAACTATGGACCAATGATCATTGTAGGTAAATGTAAATATTGCAAGGTTGTGTTTAAAGCCATAAATTTACTTCCGTCATAAAAACACTCAAAAACTGAACTCACCCACAATGTCTCCCCATGACCTCAAGAATGAAGGTCCTCTGATGACTGAAAAATACATTTTTGTTCAGGGTAATTGACAGTAAATTGCCTTTTAAATGTATAAATGCGTACAAGTGTACCTCTGTGCTGTGGTGGTAATGGCATCCACTATCTCTATGATACGGTGCAGGGCAGAGTCCGTGCCAATTGTCATGTCCGTTCCGCAGAAGTCGTTGTCAATAGAGCCCACCATGCCAACAATATGGAGGTGGGAGGAACTTTTGGCCTCATTTGCAGTTATTTTCCCTGGTGACACAATAAAAATACTTATCAAACTAACATGATCTTTCATAAATAAATTCCTATGGAAAGAAATAGGAGTGGTAAAAAAAAAATCATACCTGAGGAGTTTTTTAAAATGAAAACTGTGTACTATGCAGGTAAGATACATGACTCTTGAACTACAGAGATAGACATACTTAACTGCAATATTACTTCCTACCACTAGATGACATATAAGTTCCTATAGTGCCAAGCGTAGTCTGAAGCAAAAAGTAGAAGTAATAGCAGTATTAGAAGTAGCAAATTAACAAACTGGAGGGTAACACTGAGGTGAGTATGAAACGGCCAAAAAATCACAAATACATTTGTATGTGTTGATTTTCTCTACTCACTGAAACCTGATACCATATGTGATAAAGTTATACAGTTGAAATAAATGGTGCAACACATCTCACCAGCTTTAACCAGGTCTGCCAGCAGGTCTTTCCACTCTGTTCTGAACTGGTTGGCCCCTGTCAGACTGCCATCACCTCCAATGACGCACAGGTTGGTGATACCGAGCTTGACCAAGTTGCATGCAGCCTTCGTGCGTCCCTCTTTCGTGCGGAAATCCTGACAGCGGGCACTACCAATCACTGTTCCACCCTGATGTCAGCCAAGGAAAAAATATTTTAGTGTCAGACACATGTTGCAGGGACACATTGAAATATGTTAGAAAGTATTTTGAAGGTTAAAGAACAATTGCTGAAGGATTTATAGCTGTTATAAACTACCTGTAGAGTGGAAGACGAATAACAAAAGGATATGACGCAGAGAACATTTCGGGAAAATGTCTTAAAAAAGGTCTAAATTGAATGTGTATAAAAGTTCAAGCGGATTATTTAATTATGTCACAGGAAGACTTATAGCTATTGACCATTTAAAGACAAAAATGAAAGTTCCAATCAAAACAGTTAAAATAATTAGACACAATTAGACACTGAAAAAAATGTAAGTGAAAAATCAGTTTTTATCAAACTGAAAACAATTATTCAACTGTAAAAGAAATCACAGTATAAAGGTTGTAAAGGGTAAAAGCTAATATCTGCACCAGAAAAAGACAATCTACAAAATTTGATGGAAACTAAAAATGAAAAAAAGAGTTGCAAAAAATCATACATTGTAAGAAACAAAAAAAAACAAAAAAATCTATATATCAAACTTAGAAACGTTTCTACAGTTCCGTAGTGTATCAACTAAAGTTAGGTTATGATGAAGATTTAAGGCCTAAATGAAATAAATTTAGCTCCAGACATACAAACATTTTTGCAACTTTGTGTGCATTCTTACCAGCTGAAGCATCATAGACACACTTTCCCAAGTCGCAGGGCGGATGTTGTCTCCCCCATCCACCAGACCCTGGTAACCCTGTCACCAAATAAAAGCACCACACCATATCACCTCCCTGAAAATGGCTAATTGCCATTTATAATAATTTATAATAATTTATAATAATTGGCTGTTTATAAAGTGTTTTGCCGTCAGCATTGGGCAATAGATGGGTGTTTATGACAGAGTAGTTAATCAGAAGCTATATGTTTTGCCATATGAATGGATCTATGGTTTCATGTCCACATCTGGCTCCAATCATTACTGTTTATAATCTATTCATTTTTTTTGGACAGACAACTGCAAACTTTTTTGTTACTTGTACTTTGACATTTGAATGGTCAAAAGATTAATCCTATAAAAGGAACTGTACATGAAAAAATAAAACATCTACCTCATGGACAAAGTAGACCTTGGCTCCAGTGTACAGCCCCACTCGAACTGTGGCCCTCACAGCTGCATTCATACCTGAAGGAAGAATGCGAGCGTATTGAATCATATGAAAATGTTGCATTCTTCTGACAGGCATTGGAATTTTTTAAAAGGATGTTTAAAACAATCAATCAACAAGAAACAATCTCTCTTGCTTCCGTAAAAAATGTCATTAATGAGGTAAGGTTTAACAAACAGAGGATAGATATCAACAATGAGGTTTGAGAATCCACCGTTCATTCCCATTGGTGCTATAAGTTCATTTCTGAATGATTTAAGCTTTCTCTTTCCACAAGAAGAAATATTACTCACAACTGGAAAATATTCCAAACAGCTGTCACTCTTACCAGGCATGAAAAATGCAAGTTCACTCTAAGGTCAGACTGCATAGGTCAAACAACTCTAGACACCACAGTAATACATTTACAGATAAAATCAGTTATTATTCAGTCAGAAATAGGCGGAATGAATGTGTCCTGTTAAGGGGGGTTGCGAGTTGAAAGTGTCTTTGTCTAAAAAAACACATGGCAGCAATGGTTAGACTTAGACAGACTTAGACAGTACTTTATTGATCCCTTGGGAAGACTCCCTCAGGAAATTAAGGTTACCAGAAGCTACTGGAGAGGCAGCCGTCTCCACAGCGCCAGAATTAGGTTGTATTGCAGAAAACTACAACACTTCTGGCATATTATGCTGTGAACAGTGAAGACCCAATTGGTGTTTAAACATAATACACAGAACTGGATTTGGTGAAAACCAAGCACTGCATATCAGCATAAACATCTTACACCATCTGTCGAGCATGGTGGTGGTGGGATAATGATTAGGGTTTCCTTGTTAGCCATAGCGCATGGGCATCTGGCAGTTGCTGGGTCAAACATCAAATCCCGTGTATACCAAAGCATCTTTAGAGTCAAAAGTGTGGCTGTCTGATATCTAAAGCCTGGGTAATGCAACAGGACTAAAAAAGAAATAAAAATATCATGATCACATTAAAGTCAGGAGCTACATCTGTTTGAAATACTTTATCTGGACAAAATTCCAACATACTGACCATGTCACACAGGAAATTATAACTTTAAGGTATTGCTCCCATTTGTTTTGCAATTTTTCTATTTTCTGCATTTTTCAAAAATATTTCACGACATGGTATTTGTCATTTATTTCAGTGGTAAGGACTACAACATTTGTACATGAACTAATTGGTGAATGAACATACTTAGAAAATGTTTTGTTTTGTTTTATTTCTATTGTTCGTACATTAAAACAAGATGTGATGTTACACCCCAATAAACTGATGCAATAGACACTTTTCAATCTCCTTTTTAAAGACAAGACAATGTCTCACTTTTCTTCACATTTATATTGAGCTGGTCTCTGAACTAAGCATTCAAAACCATGAAGCTGAAAGTTGGCTTTCTTTTTCATTTGACAGTATAAGCTCCCTGGATAATTCCAACATCAAAGTAACTGCATCATATTCATCATCTTCTTAAAAAAGTTAATCATCCCTTATGCTTTGTTGGTTGGTGGACCTATCAGAGTTCCACCACCTGTTAAACCCAAACAAACTACCCTTCGGGTACATTAGTTTGAAATCCATCTCGTCTGTACTGTAAGTTGGCAGAAATAATATGTTGGTTCATTTCATAGTCCTTCGAAGCTAACCCTTAGCTCAGTGATGACCTCCACGAATGCTGCATAACTCACCCCCTTAATAATTATGAATATTCTTTTAATAGATCATATGTTATTTGTCTCTGCACCAGCTAAACACTAGATGGGAACAACAAGCAAGTGACAGGACATGATATAACAGGGCAACATGTTAACTCTTGACTTATGTTTTATTTTTTGGTAAATGTTCATGGATTAGTGTCAGCTTATTTTATTGGAAAGAGAACAAGCATCTGCTTGCTTCCCTTTTTTGGGGGGGAGGAGGGTCACTTAAAGGACAAGAAATGGATAGATTAACTTTATGGGCGCCAAAAGCATCTCCATTTACAGTGCAAAGGAGAAGAGTAAAAGAAGGAAGAGTAGAGCTACACCCTTGATCTACTTCACCAATTTACACACATGACAGAAAGGTCATGTCTCTAAAATTAGCCTTTGTAACTGTAACAGTTCTGGAGAGAAAGATGAACAGAAAAGAGCAACAGGGTTAGCTGAAAACATAACAAAGTGTGATTAATAAGAGATCAGGTAAATAATAATCAGAGTTGCATTTACGCACGTATACTACAATTTGGTTTACAGATCTATTGCTAAGCCTCTCCCATGCTCCCACTTCAGGAGTGTGGGGTCACTGATACCTTTAGAAGGTCACACTGGATGTACTGCTCATCAAGTTAAAGGTCAGGGGACCTTCTGCTTCAGTCTGAACTTCTAGCAACTTGTGTTGTCCTTTTACATCAGTTCATAACAAATACGCTGTTCTGACAGCGAAATCACAAAATATGATTGATTTTCATGAGAGGTTGAATATGATATATAAAGCTGAAATTATATCTGGAAGTGGGTGTAGGGGTATAGTTTGTTGTTCTGCTCTTCAAACCTTCTGGTCCTCAATACAAGAACGATTAATAGCACTTTATAAGAGTGGACTTAAGTTTTGAATTATTTTGTTAAATAGAGTCACGAACGTTAGGTATGAACTCTCCTGGCACTGACAATTCCAGACATCAAGAATTTAATTACAGATCAACTGATTTGTTTCTAATGTTATCCCCTTAGTGGATCTTCATTTGTCACTGAACACTGCTGTTCATTCATGAAGAACTGGCCTGAGAAGAGCACAAGAAGGAAGAGTAGAGCTACACCCTTGATCTACCCCTTCACCAATTTCCTCGCACAATCTTAGAAATCCTCCACTTACCCTGGGCATCGCCGCCGGAAGTCAGGACGGCAATGGCTCGACCCACACCCATCTTGGTGGGGTCAATGGAAGCCTGCTGTGCCATGGTTCTGGAGCTAAGGCTAACTAGGAGAAAGGGAACTTAAATGCAAAAATTTCTGCCAGCCCGCTGTACTCTGTAAAGCGCAAGGTGCCTCTAGCTCAGCCTGCCTCTTATGGAAAGTAATAACAGTTGCAAGAGTGCCCAGCTTAACTATCCACTTGGCAGCCATGGAGGCACACATAGTTGAGCTGACGCATTTAGACACTCACTCACACACACGCACACAAGCACACACAGGCTCACACAAACACAGGTATACAGAGTCCCCTTCTGAACTGTACTGAGCACTTTGTATACCTCACATTTCCTACCAAGATATATCTGACATACTGTAAGTTATGTGTGGTTATCAATCTGAATTGATCTGCTTTTTATATCCTCACATTTATATTTCATTATGAGATGCCTGAATAGAACATTTGTCCTCTAAGTTCAAGACTGGAAAGTCTGGACTTTTAAATTGCAAATAAATTCAGTTCAAATTTAAACAGTACTGTTGTTTTTAAAATGTTTATGTGTAGATCAAGTATTGGTCCTTGTAGTTTAAAAAAACCTTTTTTTTTCACTCAAAGATCAGTTGAAGCCTACAGCTACGTACTCTGGTCTCAAATTAACTGCGTGCTCAACAACTATAAATAGTAGTGTCATCCTTAAAGAATTAACTTGCAGTTGCATCTAATATTGCAATGTTTTTCTACTGAAATGTCTGTATTGCTGGACAGCATACATTAGTTAAAGATCTTGGTTGCTAAGCTTTGATTTTGTGATCCCAAATGCAGATTCAAGCTGGTGGAATTGTAGACTCACTTACCAGCATCCTCTGCTGAATCCAAACTCAAAGATGTTTCACTTTCACATGCGGCACAACTGTCACCACCTGAGGAGAGAAAATGATGCATGTTACTTTATCCAAGCTGAGCAGTACTGTCCAGAACTGACTCTGAAGTGCAAGGTGATATCTTACTCCCATGATAAACCCTTTCTATAAAAGACAATGTGATCGAGCATTATTCCTTTTCCTTCAGTCCATTTAGTTATTTTGAGAATATGTCTTCACTCCATAAATTCCTCTATCTGTACATTGCAGACGCGGTTACTCCTGCTGGCTTTATCTCATGTTTGCTACAATGAACAGTTGATGGGCTGGTCAAATGGGGGGTGGGAAAATAGTTTTATTACAATTTAATCTTCAATACGGCACTAACAATACTGTTGGTCAGTGTTTCTCGCTCACATACAAAGGCTATATTTTACACTGTTACTATTTTGCCTGTTTGCAATAACTGAAATAAAGAATAGCCACCCCCCAGGCAATGCATCTTATTTGAGAACATTCACTGTCTGACATGATGAATCTTTAAGAAAAATTCGATTCTCCACAGAGCTACAGTTCATTGGAGGTATTGATTTGCATATTTGTGATATATCAAACAACTGGTCACATGCTGTTTTTTAATAAGGCATGTCATTATATATTACACGAACCATCAAGCAATTTCAACCCAACATGTACAAACATAATAAATTTGAATAAAGCCATAATGCTGGATGTGTCAGTGATTGATATTGAAGCATGTGTCCGTTCATTAACTAAATGTGACAACAGTGAGGCTTTGACGCTTCTCCGCTGCAAGCATTTCTCTGTGACTGACTGTAAATAGATACAGGAACAGCTATCTATAAAACCCACTGCAGCCACTCCCCTTTCTCACCACCATTACTGTGAAACTGCACTGTCATCCCAACTATACATGTCAGGAACAGTTAGCCTTCTGCATTCTCTACATGTAAACACAAAACACCATCAACCTAAAAACTGCAGGCCAGACTAGAATTAAAAGCGGAAAATCTCAGGAAAATGTTTTTCATCGTTGACTCTGCAACTGTTCACACTAAACTGAAGCTGAGGTAAAGTAAGTCCGCTACAATCACGAATCAAGAAATAAAGTCGACATCATCTACATACCTTGATGTTTTTTTCTTAACCAGTGCGGCAGACAGATAAGCAGCACAACGCTGAATAGCCCAATGACTGTGAAAGCACTCTGGTACCACATCCTAACACTACTCTCTTAAGAAACAATTCTAATCTGAACTGTATTTATAGCTTTGATATCACTTGTTCATTGTGAGGAGTGAGCCTCACCATTAGAGCTCGCTGGGAGAGCAAATTTGGACCGATTTGCATATGGAACAAGCAAGACAAAGAAGGAAGAACGGTTTCAAGATTAAAGTACTAATTCAGTTAAAAAAATACAGTAAAAAAGATATATATATATATATATATATATATATATATATATATATACGATACAAAATGAAATATTTGACTATGCAGAATTGTAAATGCTGAACAGATATTTACTGTTTAACTGTGTACAAGTGACCACAGACTGAACAAAAAGAGGAAAGAAAAAAACACATGAGAGAAATTTTACCAAATGTTTGTGTTTTTCTTGTGCCTGGGATTGCAGTTTTGTTCTAATTCTAATAAAGATACAATATGCATGTGGCCATTGATATCCAGAGTTCTTTTGACACAGCAATGAGAGAAGAGGTCAAGCGCAAGCTATCTTTAAAAGGTATATTACAGTCTTTTAGGAGATTGTCTGAAGGTACATCATTGACTATGAACCATGAGGACCAAAGTTGATAGATCTGATCACACAATTGAAATAGAAATTTTCGTCATTCCCCACGGTACATGAATAGTTCAGTAAAAAGTTTCTTTTGAATGCCAGAAGTTTATTCTTGAGATACTGTAGAAAAAATTCAATTACGTTGACTCTTTGTAAACTAGTTGAGGTTAATTAATTCTACTTAGAAGAATTTTAAAAAAGTAGTTAGGCTATTCTTAAATTTAGGCTTTTCCTGCAAAACTACCCTTGCTGCACTACAACATACCCACACAGTTAAAAAGAAGCCTTTTCAGTTTCCCAACAAACAACCACATATTCTTATTTAGTCAAACACAAACTAAATATACACACACATCTCAGGGCAGGAATAAAGTCCCTTTGTTGTCTTTAACAAGTTGGTGGATGCTTTTAACTCTGACACTCCATTTCAGCAATTATTTTTTCTCCAGGAAGAAGTTTAGGCAGCAAAACAAAAATGTACAATTTTTTTTCCCCTAAGTGTTCCCAACATTTCCCTTGTTAAACTCTTATTGATAATAAAGTATTTTTAGACAATGACATTTTACTCCTAACAATTACTTGGTGAGGTGTTATGCATGACAATGGTATTGGTCAGATTAGCTTTCCACACGCAGCTGTTCTTAAACCAATAGAAGACCCTTTTTTCTTCAGTGCACGTTTAACCTTTTTGATGAAAATACTATTTTATTTATCCAGGACTCCAATTGTTATTATTTTTCATTAAAGGAGGCTGTACTTTGAAATAAAGACATTTGCTCCAATTATCAAAAAGTAAGAAAAGGGCTGTCATTAGCTGTTGACACCCCAGGCATTTATTTTGTTCAAATTCTGTATTGTGCAGGACATTTAACCAATGAAAACTTATCTCAAAACAAATTTAAAGGTTTTTTTTATGTTGCATATACAGTAAATGATGGTCTTCTTGTTATTATCATCATTGCTGTTTTGAAAAAAAATGGTGGTACAGAATCTAACACTAGTCTTCCTGTCTTTACATTTTTACAAACTGTATGAAATCATTTGAGAAATCACATTACTGTCCAGGATTACTACGTCACAGTATCAGTGTGGTGTCAGATTAAAAGTGGTCAGTGTTTTTAAAACCACTGACCCACTTTGCTGTCAGGAGACAGTGAGCTATGCAGAAATGTGACACTGGTGTGACTATCATACCAGGACAGTCTGAGATTATAATAGTGAAGCACAGGCAGTGTGACAATGTTAAAGTGTTAACAGAAACTTTGACATTTGGACACATCTACAGTCAGTAAAGACAACCCCTCCAACCTTTCCTCAGTACCTCAGTTTTCCTATTTTTGTCATTTTCACAGTTTGGACCTTAAGTTATCTCAGAAAGACCTATGTGTTCTGAAGGGACACACACATGCACGGACACGCGTGCACACTAAAGCAAAGTCCTGCATCACCATCATTTCAAAGGGTTTAACTCGAATGGTTTCCTGTATCTTTGACTTACCAAATCATGCCATGACTGCTCAACACCTCCCTGCAGACGACACCTTCCCGCCAACAAAATGACCTCTAAAGCATATACATCACTGAGTACAAAAGGCAACTTGTCACATTCATGCAACTCAGGTGGAGATTATGCCTTCTTTTTGAGAGTTGTGCGCCCCTGGAGGGTTGAGTGACATGTGACTCTCTTTGGAGCCAAACATCCGATCGATAGCACCATTTCCAGGTAATCCCTTTTCCTGTCCTCCCGAACACTGGTAATACTTGCACTGCCTGTAATAAACCATAGGGATCAATATAACACCGGCTCAACACAAAACATTTCCCTTTGAGCGAACGCAGTGAAAAGTGGACTGGATATCATTGCAGTCTGACCCCTCTCTATCTGAAAGATTCTGTTCATGATTACAAAAATTTGAATTTAGTTCAAGCAGAGCCTTAACATATAACAAATACATTTGTGACACAAATGTCACAGACTGAAAAATTTCCTCCGTGATTAACTGATTAAATATGTGTGCATAATCTGATCGTTACATTAAAGGACAAGAAAAAAGAAAAAAAAAAGACTAAATGTGCTCTAAATTTATTGACTATGCAAATGTGCCCTTCCAATATTGATTAAAGAATCCACTCTTCTTTTATTCCTAATATTTCACACCATAGAAAATCAGATTGAGAGCATGGTTTCAGTAAAATGAGCGATAATCCATTATTCGTCTTAGTCTCCAGGTTCTTCAGGGAATGTGTGTTAAAACTAATCTGCCCATCAGCTGAGAGTACAGCAGCGGGAGCTGATCTATCATTATTGGCATCTTTTATTTCCAATCAATAGAAATAATCATCTGTTGCAATGCGGCTATCTTTGGCATTATTCTCTCTTGTTTTTCTCAGATGTGCTGTATACGTCTGTTATTTGATATCAGCAACCATTGCAATGCAAAATGAAACTGAAATGATGATTAAATGTATATGAAGTTATGGCTACTTATGAGAACTAGGAAAATGAGTTCAGGCTGAAATTGTATCACAAAGACACATAGTTATAAAAGAAAAACAGACTAACCTGAAGCAAGCTGTACTTTGTTGAAACAATCTAGTTAGAGGAAAACAAGATAGGACATTTGACAATTCTCCACTTTGG